GGAATAGTGAAATTGCCCACGCGGTGTGTGGCGGATGCGTTTGGGGGAAGGATGGAAGTTGAAGGTCCCTCCAGACCTCAATTTTGCTCCTGTCTCTAATGTAATCTTTAAAAACCTCTTTTCTGACATAACTGTGGTGGGGTTGGATGTGGTCTGATTGCCAGGTTTTGGTCTGTGTATCCTAAACCACTGTTTGTATCCCTTCATTTTAGGATGAAAATGGAATTGATGAGCTGGGAGGAAACAATTGCTTTGGACCAATGCCATGTTCCAGATATGGAGAGCAATGAGCTGGTATGAGATTGACTTCTTACAGAGGAAGGGAAATCCCTTGCCCAGGGAACTAAACTCTACATAACAGCAAAACTGTTGAAATTTAGGAGCAACTCTAGTGGGTTAGAAGGGGGGGGGCTGGGAGTCAGGACCCCTGAGTTTTATTCCCAACTCTGGGGGAGTATGAACTAGTAGTTAGAACAAGGGAGTCAAATCTAGTTGTAGAGATGGGGGACTGGGAGTCAGGACTCCTGGGTTTTATTTGCCTACCTCTCTTTAAGGACTTTACCAAGACCTGTAATTTCCAACCTGGAGAGAGGACTCCAGAGTATTCCTGTTAGATCATGGTCCTGCCTGCCAGACCACCTATCTCCCTTCCCCCAATTAGTGCAGGCTGAGGCGTGTCAAACCTTCAGCTCTGACCTTTGGATTGTAGCAGATGTTTTTCAGCTCTGACTTTATCAAAGTGTCTGTTACCGGTTGTGTTCACCAATCCAGCATTCAGCTACGATCATGGAGTGTAGTAGGAGTGACATGTGGCTTTTGGGCCTTGCTAACCTACTAGCCTGTGTGTGTCTTGAGGCCTTCAGGCTGGTGTTGCCTTAGTGATGTAAACATCAGATTTTAAATCCTCATTGTCCAGGATTGGTTCATCTCTTCCTCCTTCCACTGCAGATAAATTAATGCTATCGGTCTGAAGCTGTTCAGGTCTCTTGCTTGAGGCATTAACAAAATTTGAGATCCTGTCTGCTCACTGTGGACATTAAAAGGGCCATAGGATCTTTTGTAAGCATAGTAGGGAGCTTGGCCAGTTGTCTGCTAAAACAAGGGTTCTCAACCTTTTTCTTTCAGGTCCCCACAACGTGCTATTAAAAACTCCAGGGCCCAGCAGTGGTGGGGGGGGTCTGGGCTTCAGGGGAGCAGGAGGGGCTTCTGCCCGGCAGAGCTTGGGGCTCTGCCGGGCTCAAGGCTCTGAGCTAACTCTGCAGGGCTCAAGGCTCTGCGTTTTCTGTCCTAGGCCCCTTTCAAGGCTGATTCCCCACTCTGGCACTTCGAGTGCAGAAGGTGGGAGGGGGCCCACAAAGATTCTAAAAATTAATACTGGCCACTCCAGGCTTGTATTAAAGTCCCAAGGTTACAGTTTCTCTCTGACCTTGGATTGGTAGATGCTGCCACCACCCAAATGCAGAACCCCTTTGAGGCCCAGAAAGGCACACTTGGGGATTCCTTCTTGTGGGGTACCTTCAAGCCCTTTAACCTTCCTCCCTGCCTCCGAGCAAGAGCTGAGAAAGAAGAAAAAAAATAGGGAAATCAGCTCTTGCCACCAGGTAATTAAACAACATGTGCACAAACCTCTTAAGACACAAAAATCCAATTCTACTCTTAAAAAAGGTATTCTCTTTCTTTTTTTAATTAATAAAATTTAAGTCTGGGAATTTAGGCTTTTGCTAGATTTAAAAAAAACAATTACAAGGATTAAGCATCAAGAATAGCTTTCTTGAGGTCCAGTTTAAAGGTTACAAGCAAAACAAAAGCACCTGGGGTTAGCACAGAGGAGTCCACAAGCCATAAAGAAATAAAAAGAGATAAACCTAAATGCGTCTTCCTAAACATTTCTTAATCTACTTTCATACCTGGGGTTCCAAATGAGTAGTTTCTAGGTATGATACTGAGGATTTTTCATACCTGGCCCCAAGCTTCTTACACCATAGCTCTGCCCTGTCCCCTCTCTCCGGGAGAACAACCACAGACAGACAAAAAGGGGAATCTTTGTTTCAATATTAAAAAGTTCTAGCCTTCTGATTGGCTCTTTTGGCCACGTGCCCACTCACTTCCTTTTACCTGGTGTACGGAGTCACAGCGACGTTAGTGTTTGGCCTGGCTGTGTCCCCACTCCCCCCTCAACGGGGCCAGGCTAAATACGAGCATTGCTTCTGTGACACTACACCCCATATTCATCAAAGGGGGACGATTATGATGATTATGACATAATTATGATGCAATTTGTACAAGATGAATCATATGAGGTGTCATTGGAAATGTTATGATTTGCTGAATATGATTATCCTCTTTGTATGCATGTATCATTTTTGTGTGTAAAGTTATGAATATTGACTATGTATCTGTATTTCAAATGTAGTTGCACCTGGGTAACTCCCACTCGGGAAGATGCTTCCAGTCTAGATAGCTGGTTGGGAAGGGCCTATTCAGGGTAATGGGCCAGTAGGAAAAACAACAGGCCTTAGGAGAAGCTTATTTTCCACCTGGTGAGCCTTCCTGAGAACGCTCCAGACAGCCTGTAAGTAATGGCTGCTATGACTCTGCAAGGGTATGTGACCAGGGCACATGACTCTGACCTCCATTTTGGGTACCTGTTTTCCACAAACTGGTCTGAGACCCAAGTCTGAAACAAATGGTTCCCGCTGTATGGAAAAGCTATATAAGGCAGGGAGTGATATCATCTATTGTTCCTCACTCCCCCACAACTCAGCACGTGAGAGAAACTCTGGAAGAAAAGGACTTGGAATGGGGGTGGGAAGCCCAAGCTGCAAAGCAAGTGCAGCTTGTGCCTTGACAACCTGCAAGTCTGCTTGTATCATGAGTCAGGGTGAGAAATAGCTAATTCATATACAGGCTTTCTAGTATCTTAGGCTCAGTTTGCATTTTTGTTTATTTACTAGGTAATCTGCTTTGATCTGTTTGCTATCCCTTATAATCACTTAAAATCTATCTTTTTGTAGTTAATAAACTTGTTTTATGTTTTAATCTAAACCAGTGTGCCTTTAAGTGAAGTGTCTGGGGAAAAATCTCAACTTGGTTAACACATGTTTGTTGCATATTCCTCTCCACATCCTCTCCAGGTAATAAATTTATACTGGTTGGAGTTTCAACCAGGGCAGGGCAGTACAGCTCTGGGGGCCTAGGCTGGGAAGCTGGGGGGTATCTTGGCTGTAGCCTCTCTATTGCTATTGGTTCATGCAGTGTTTGGTCAGCCTGCATGTAACTGCAGCTGGGTGTGTCCCTGCCTGTGCATATGCTGGTGAGAGTGTAAATCTGGGAGTGGTCTACAGCTTGTCACAGAAGCACAGTGTGAGTGGAATCCCAGTTCCAGGTGGCACCCCAGGGGAAACCCGTCACAGCTTCAACCCCATGCATCAGGAGTCAGGGCACAACGCCTGGAGCAGGGAACAGAGCCCAGCCAGCCCCATGGGACAGGAGCTGCTTCAACCAGGACATGGCGGTTGGTGTCAAAGCATCAAAGCAGGACAGTCCCACAAAACCCAAGACTGTTGGGAGGTCTGTAGGGCTGTCACCTCTGAGATGCAAAAACATGGGACAGCTGCGATGGTCCTGAGCCCATCACACTGGACAGCTGGTAGCGTGTACCAGGCTCACAGACCGACTTTCCAGGACAGCTACGAAGGGACGATCCTGGAGAAACACAGATATTGGCAACCCTAGCAGGGCATGGAATTAAAAAGGGATCCCAGGAGTGGGCGAGGTGGGCAGTGTGGGGACCCCAGGCTAGGCTGTAGAGGGCTGGTAAATGGGGGGAGGTGTGGGGACCAATGCCAGCAGTGTGTGTGTGTGTGTGATGCAATGCAGGGACTCTGTGTGTGTGTGTGTGTAGGAATGTAGGGATTGTGTGTGTATGGGGGGAAGGAATGCAGGGGCTGTGTAGGATGTTGCAATACAGGAGGTGTGGGGGGAGGTAGCAATTAGGGCTGTGTGTGTGTGTGTGTGTGTGCAGAGCAATGCAGGGGCTGTGTGTATGCAAAGCAATGTAGGGTTTGTGGGGGGTGTAGTGCAGGAGCTGTGTGTGTGCAGAGCAATGTAGGGGTTGTGGGGGGAGTGCAGTGCAGGAGCTGTGTATGCAGAGCAATGTAGGGGTTGTGGGGGTGTGTGTGCAGTGCAGGAGCTGTGTGTGTGCAGTGCAGGAGCTGTGTGTGTGCAGATCAAGGTAGGGCAGGGGTTCTCAAACTGGGGGCAGGGCCAGCTTTAGGACCTACGGGTCCCGCTTGGAATACCCGGCGGCGGTCCGGGTCTTCGGTGGCACTTTGGCTGCGGGACGTCCGCTCCATGTCTTCCGCGGCACTGAAGGACCCCCCACCGCCGAAATGCCGCCGAAGACCCTGGAGCGAACCCCCCCCCTCCCCCGCCGCTGAAATGCCACCTGAGCAGACCGCTGCCAGGTGAGCCTAAGGCGTGGGGCCCTCTTACCCGCGGGGCCTGATTCCAGGGAATCGGCCTAAAGCCGTCGCTGACTGGGGGTTGGGACCCCTCAGGTTGTCACGAGGTTATTACCTGGGGGGGGTCGCAAGCTGTCAACCTCCACCCCAAACCCCGCTTGCCTCCAGCATTTATAATGGTGTTAAATATATGAAAAACTGTGTTTAATTTATTACGGGGGGGGGGTCACACTAGGCTTGCTATGTGAAAGGGGTTGCCAGTAAAAAAGGTTGAGACCCACTGATGTAGGGGCTGTGTGTGTGCAGAGCAATGTAGGGGCTGTGAGCATGTTTGTGTGTGGGTGTGGAGGGGGGGTGTTGCAAGGGAGGGCAGTGTAGGGGCTGTGAGCCTGTGTGTGTGTGTGTGGGGGGGTGTTGCAAGGGAGGGGCTGCGTGGGGGGGGGGGCAGAGCGAGCTGCTGTGCAGCATTCCCCCGCCAGCCCCGTAGATGTCCCTGCTCTGTCCGCAGCCCAGCCAGGAGCGCGCGCTTAGGCCGAGGCGGAGGAAGGGGCGGAGCTCGGCGATCATGGCTGAGGAGGAAGGAGAAGGAAATTACCAGGCCTTGCAAACTCTGCAGGTACCGGAGGGGCTGCTGAGTGGCCGCGGCCAGGGGGGCGAACTCTGCGTCGGCCGGCTCCTGCGGGCTGTGAGACACACACCGATCCCCCCGATACACACACACAGAGCAATGCGCAGACACACCGATCCACATAACACACCGATCCCCACCCCCCCCCCGATACACACACACACAGCAATGCACAGACACACCGATCCACATAACACACCGATCCCCACCCACCCCCGATACACACATACAGAGCAATGCACAGACACACCGATACACACACACACAGAGCAATGCACAGACACACCGATACACATAACACACCGATCCCCACCCACCCCCGATACACACACACAGAGCAATGCACAGACACACCGATCCACACAACACACCGATCCCCACCCCCCCCGATACACACACACACACACACAGCAATGCACAGACACACCGATCCACATAACACACCGATCCCCACCCACCCCCGATACACACACACACACACACACACACACACACAGCAATGCACAGACACACCGATCCACATAACACACCGATCCCCACCCACCCCCGATACACACATACAGAGCAATGCACAGACACACCGATACACACACACACAGAGCAATGCACAGACACACCGATACACATAACACACCGATCCCCACCCACCCCCGATACACACACACAGAGCAATGCACAGACACACCGATACACATACACACACCGATCCCCACCCCCCCGATACACACACACACAGTAATGCACAGACACATCGATACACATACACACACCGATCCCCATCCCCCGATACACGCGCACACAGAAATGCACACACATACCGACGCACACAAAGCAGTGCGCACATACGCACACCAATCCATACACACACACACACGAGAAAAGCACAGACACATCAATGCCTGCACACAGCGATGCACACACACACACCCTCTCTCATCCCTGCACACACACCAGTGCACACTGATCCCTGCACGCACACGATGCACCCACACAATGACACACACCTGCACTGATCACTCTGCATCCACACCAATACACACACTGATCCGTGCACAAACGCACAGCGAGATTCACACACACACACAAACCCTTGTGTTACATGCACACACATACACACACACACAGCCTTGCCCTATATCTCCCTTACACTGCCCTCTGCCTTTGCAATCCCTGTGTCTGAATTAACCTCTCCCTTTTGCCATATGTTTTTCCCTGCACCCTCTCTCTGAGCATCTGGGTGGGTTTAGCCATTTTCATTTTGCTATTTAAAGCCCCCAGTCCAAGATGGGTGCAAATAACAGGCCTGTAATGGGAAACAGCCTGTAAAATGCCCTGGGATGTAACATTTGTACACTGCCTTTATTAACTGTCTACTGGGTTTGTCATTAAAATCATTAGCAGAGGGAGGGGTCTGACTGTGTTGGGGTCACTGAGATTTTGGGCAATAAGAGGCTGTCTGGGGCACTAGACTTGGGTCCCATTTCCACTTTCACCATTTTGCTTGGGGAAGTCACTTCTCCCTCTGTGCCTCCCTTTCCCTGTCTATAAAATGGGGATAATGGTCATTCCTTTGCCTGTTTAGACAGGGGAGCTTTTCAGAGCAGGATCTGTCTCCCACTGTGTCTGTGCAGTGCCCAGCACAATAGGGGGTCTCTTTCGTGGTCTGTGCAGTGCCTGGCACAATGGGGCCCTGATTTTGGTCGGGATCTCTGCAGTGTCGGGCACAATGGGGGCCCTGATCTCGGTCGGGGTCTGTGCCGCACCCGGCACAATGGGGCCCTGATCTCAGTCGAGGTCTGTGCAGCGCCAGGCACGATGTGTGCTCTGACGTTGGACAAGCGCTAGCATAAGACATATTATTAATAATAACAGTGGTGAAAGCCATGAGAGGCCTGTACGTCAGGTGGTAGGGCTCATATCTACAGATTGATCCTCTGGGCACCTAGAATGACACCGAAGTGTGATCATGGCTCGCTGGGTACCACACAGACCCCTAATAAGGTCCTGTTGTGCCAAGTGCTTCCCAGACCCTGACTGAAGTGAGGGCCCCTTGTGCCGGATGCTGCACAGACCCACAGTGAGACAGTGCCTCCCTGAAGAACTTGTCATCTAAAATTGATGAGATCTGAACTGCGTATTGGATTGGGAAGCCCAGTTCCCATTAATTAGCTCTCTGGAGCTGGGATGTTGTTTTGTTCTGTGTTTGTACAACATCTAGCGCAGAGGGGCCCTGGGCCATGACTGGGGCTCCTAGTCACTATGGTAATACATATAATAATGGGAACTGATTTCCAAATTCCTTAGCCAGCTTTGAAAATCCCAACCGAGGCACAGAGAGATTCAGTTACATGGATTTGCAAATGAGACCAAAGGAGTTAGGAGCCCAATTGGCTTTCACTGTCATTTGGGGGCCTCATTCCTTTAAAATTCCTAGCCTAATGACTTATCCAAGGTTACTGGAATAGTCTCTGGTAAAGCTGGGCTTTGAACCCAGGTTTCTTGAGTGTTGGTCCAGTGCCTTAACCGCCAGGCTACATGCCCCCTTAGGTAGCTGCTGCTGCTGCTGCTAGGGTGTAGTTTACCGATGTGATCGTTCCCACCCCTGCCCCTTTCACTCACCTGTCCCTCATCCTCACAGGAATTGGTCGATGGCCTGTACTATTTCCGGGATCATTACTTTGAAAGCCATGGTGTGGAGGATGCTGGGCGAAAGCAGCAGGACATTCTGGAGGAAATGGAGAAAACGCTACAGCAGATGGGCGAGATAGATGGTAACCGGGTATAAGAGGGAAATGCACCCCCTGCCCTAGAGGGGAAAACCTGGCATCCCATTTCCCACCCCCATGAGCTAGCCAGTCCCAAACCCTGGGGCTGGATTGGAGCTGGCACACCCTAGAGGGGTAAGGCCCCATGCCCCATTCCTCACCCCCCCGAGCCAGCCAGTCCCAAACCCTGGGGCTGGATTGGAGCTGGCACACCCTAGAGGGGTAAGGCCCCATGCCCCATTCCTCACCCCCCTGAGCCAACCAGTCTCCCACCCTAGGGCTGGATTGGAGCTGGCAACCCTAGAGGGGAAAGGGACCAGTGTCCCATTTCTCACCTCCTGAGCCAGCCAGCCAGCCCGCTGCCCTGGGACTGGAGGAGATTTGTGCCACAGGCTATGCCCTCCCTTTGCGGCTCTGTCTCTCCAGGCTGTTCCCAGGGCCGGGCTCGGGCGCTGATGCTGAAGGGGAAGGCTCTGAATGTTATACCCGACTACAACCCCAAGGCTGAGGAGCTGCTGGCCAAGGCTGTGAAGCTGGACCCGGAGCTGGTGGAGGCCTGGAACCAGCTGGGCGAGACCTACTGGAAAAAGGGCGACATCACAGCAGCCCACACCTGCTTCTCTGGGGCCCTGGGGCATGTGAGTTGAGGGGCTGGGTAGCTGGGGCCAAGGGGCCGATCTGGGGGGAGGGGCGCGGGGGGGCTGGGCTGAGGGGCTGATCCCGGGAAGTGGAGACAGGGCTGTCTGGGCTGAGGGGCCGATTCAGGGGAGGGGAGGGAAGGGGAGACAGAGCTGGCTGATCTGAGGGCAGAGGAGTCGTGGGTGGGGAGGCGGGAAGCCGGGCTGAGTGCTGACCATGGCTCCTTGTCTCCCCCCATAGCGGAAGAACAAGGTCTCGCTGCAGAATCTGTCCATGGTGCTGCGGCAGCTGCGAGTGGAGAGCACAGAGCAGCATGCCCAGAATGTCATGGACAGTGTCCGGCAGGCCAAGCTGGCTGTCCAGATGGACGTGCGGGATGGCCGCTCGTGGTGTGAGTGACAGCCCCTTTCCCTCCCCCAGGCACCGCTCCTGCCCACTCCCTGCTTCAAGGGACACTGGGACCCAACGTGGTACCAGCTGGGAGGGGCTCAGGCTTCTCAGTATGCTCTGCAACTTCCTGCCCTTCACCTGACTTGGGGGGAGGATAATATACCCCAGCGATATCCCTACATTCAACCCTTCATTCTCAGTTATGTCCCACCATCCCTCCATCCTCAGCTATATTCATCCCCAGCTATATCCATCCCTCCATCCATTCAACCCTCCATCCTCAATGTCCCGCCATCCCTCCATCCTCAGCTGTAGCCATCCATTCCCCTCAGCTATATCCCTCCACCCATCCATCCTCAGCTATAGCCATCCTGCCACCCATCCTCAGCTGTAGTCATCCATCAATCCTCTATTCTCAGCTATATGCCTCCAACCAGCCAGCTGTTCATCTTCTTTGATGTCCTCTGTCCATGTGTTCTCCTTACTAACCTCCATGTCTCTCTGCCGCAGATATCCTGGGAAATGCCTACCTCTCGCTGTTCTTCAACACAGGCCAGAACCCCAGTATCTCCCAGCAGGCCCTAAGTGCCTATGGCCAGGCGGTAGGTACTGCCCTGTCTTCTACTGGTTGCAAGGGAGCCTTGTGGTGCAGGGAGCAGGGCAGAAGGCTCAATGGGGGCGCTCAGATGTTGATTTCCTTTCCACACTAGGAAAAGGTGGATCCTACAGCATCCTGTAACCCGGACCTGCACCTCAACAGAGCTACGGTGAGAAGGTGGGAGGGAGGGGAGTGGAAGGTGTGACTGAAAGGTGTTGGGGGCTCAGGAGGGGCACTCTCCCCTGGCAGGCAGTGCCAGCATCAGTGCCTCAGTGTGGTTTTAGGGGGCTCTGTGTCCCTGTGTCTGCTGCCCCCTGCTGGATGGAATGAGCCCTGTAATTTCTGGTCTAACCACTAGACCCCTCTCCCCTCCCAGAGCCAGGAATTGAACCCAGGAATACCAATTCCCTGCACACACTGCTCTAACCCAGTGGGCTTCCCCCTACCTCCCTCACACCTTGAGCCAGGAATGGAAACCAGGAGTTCTGGCTCCCAGCCCCCTCACTCTAACCCACTAGACCCCCTCAGGCCTGCGGTAGAACCCAGGAGTCCTGGTGCCAAGCCTCACTGCTGTAACCATAGCGCTATGCTGTGTTTCTCTTGGGTCAGCTGCATAAATATGAGGAGAATTACACGGAGGCCCTGGAGGGGTTTTCCCGTGCAGCAGCCCTTGACCCAGCCTGGCCCGAACCCCGGCTGCGCCAGCAGCAGCTTCTGGATTTCCTGGAGCGACTCACCAGCCTCCTGGAGAACAAGGTAGAGCATCTCCCCTGCTCCCTGCCTGGCTTACAGGGAGATATGTCTCAGTCAGTGACCCTGCCCTCCTTCCTCCCCCTGCAGGGCAAAGTGAAGGTTAAGAAGCTGCAGAGCATGCTGGGAAGCCTGCGCCCATCCCAGCTGGGCCCCTGTGGGGACGGGCAGTACCAGGGGTCCTCAGGCCAGAAGGTGGCACTGGAGCATCGGCTCCTGAGCGCCCTGCAGCCGGGTGTGAACACTGGGGCCGTAGTGCTCGGCAGGGTGGTCTTCAGCCTCACCACGGACGAGAAGGTGCCCTTGTGAGTACCACCTGTCCATCCATCCATCTTTAGTGCTTTCTGTTGATGTTGTCTATCCTCCTGCTGTCCATCTGTCAGTCCTGAGCTATGTCTATCCGTCCATCCTGCTGTCCATCTGTTAGTCCTGAGCCCTATCCATCCTGCTGTCCATCTGTCTGTCCTGAGCTCTGTCCTCCATCCATCCTGCTGTCCATCTGTCTGTCCTGAGTTCTGTCCATCTGTCCAGCCTGCTGTCCATCTGTCAGTCCTGAGCTCTGTCCATCCTTCTGTCCAGCTGTCAGTCCTGAGCTCCATCCATCCATCCATGTTTCCTCAGTTCTGTACACCCATCCAACCATTCTCATAGCCATCCATGTGGCCTTCCATCCATCCATCTATGCATCCTCAGTACCATCCATCCGCCCCTTCACCTCCTGTCCCATCACCTTACTCACACTCTCGCCTGGTTTTCTGGCAGCACGTTCGGCTTGGCTGACTCCAAGGGCCCCTGTTTTGCTGTCACTGTCTATAACATGGTCCAGAGCTGGGGTGTGCTCATCGGCGACTCAGTGGCCATCCCTGAGCCACACCTCCGGCATCACCACGTCCAGCACCAAGGCAAGGTGAGTGTGGCCCGGTCCTCCTTGCCCCAGGCTTAGTGCTGGAGTGATTCCTAGGCCTGGCCCTGCAGGAGGAGGGATATGGGACGTCGCCAGAGACAGGTTGATACAGGACTGTAGCCCTTCGTCAGTTTAAGGGTTAACCCCCACCCTTTCCTCATGCCCCCCCTCCACCTGTTGTTTCTTTCCACTCCCACTGTGGTGGCGGGAGGCATGAATGAACTTGACACTTCCTGTCTGCTACTTGCATCACTTCCTATGTGAGCTGTTAGACCTCAGTTATAGGGCCACAGATGCCAGAGTGATGGGGCCTTTCTCACAGCAGCTGGGGGCAATGTGTCTTTCCCAGCCCCCTTGTTATGGGGTAGAGGTGGAAGTGCCTTTAAATTGGGGGAGGGGGGTTGCAATTCTCTACCCCAATATTCACCCCGACGTCCAGGGAAGCATAAGCCCACTAGCTGCCCAGCAGGGAAAGAGTTAATTTTGACACTGTTGCTGGGAGACTGGGCACCTCCTCCCTCACTAGAGCACATCTCAGTCTTCTGCAGGAAGGCGGGAGGACGACACACTGGCTCTTCAGGTTTTTACAGCTGCCTAGGTTTTTGGGCTCCTGACATCTGTTAAATTTGGGCACCCAGATCCCTTAGGCAGGTTTAAAAACCTAAGCACATGAAATGAAAATCACCATCAGTAGGCGTTAACAGTGGAATTTGCCCTGCCTCATAGATGGGTGGGAAAATTTCAACACATGATGTGCAAACAGTCATTAGTAGGATTCAGAGCTAACCGCCTTCTGACTGACTTCTCTGTCTCCACGGTACTCCCAGAGCTTCTCCTTCCCTGGGATCCGTGTGGAGACCCCACTCCTGCTGGTGGTGAACGGCAAGATGCAGGGACCTGGCACCCAGGCGGCAGCTACTGTGGCATACCGAGCGCAGAGCGAATGATGCCGTGGGGAGGGAATGTGCAAAGATAGCTCCTTGCCCTCGGATGCTGCTGCTGGAGGGGTTGGACTTGTCCTGCTGTCTGCTGCCCCCTGGTGGATCCCATGACTATAATGGCTTGGAGAGGCTTGTGGGGCCAGCAGGGGATTTACAACTGGGTATTGAGGCAAAGGATGGGGACTGAGAATGGGGTGATCCCTGCCCCCTACAAAGAGGGACAGAGGTCCCTCTTTTCCCATTCTCTCTCCACTCAACATGGTCCTCTTTCCCATGGCAACGAGCTCTACCCAGGCTCTGCCCCGATACCCCAATAAACCACTCCAATGGACTGATCCCAGCTGTGAAGTAATTGCACTGGGACTAGGAGACCCCTACCAAGCCCACCAATGCCTCCTCCCTCTGCATCTGTGCCCTGCCCTTTCTCCTCTCCTTTTCCACACTCCCCCTTCCTGTCTCCTTCCCATGGACTGGAATCACTGGCCCCAACCCCCCTCAGTTTGTGTGGCTTATGACGTGGGGACATTCAAAGGTGATTAAGGGGTGTTGTAGGTGCCTAGTCCCTGTGGGTTTGGGGGTTGGACTTTTTTAGGGCTCTTTCACAGTGGGTCTGGCTTGGGGCCCTGCTCTCTGTGTGTACAGAGCAGGTCTGCCCCGAGGCCCTGATCTCTGTGTCTACAGAGCGGGTCTGGCCCGAGGCCCTGCTCTCTCCGTGTGTACAGAGTGGGTCTGGCCCGGGGCCCTGCTCTCTCTGTGTGTACAGAGCGGGTCTGGCCCGAGGCCCTGCTCTCTCTGTGTGTACAGAGCGGGTCTGGCCCGAGGCCCTGCTCTCTCCGTGTGTACAGAGCGGGTATGGCCCGAGGCCCTGGTCTCTGTGTGTACAGAGTGGTGGTATATTTATTTTGGAAGGTTCATTTTGTTTTATAATTTTATATGTTTAAAGGTTTGTTTTTTTCTTTTGTAATGAATAAAATCTGTTATCGATGAGGTTCGTGGTCAGTGAGTCCTGTCAGTCCATCCATCCCCCTACACAACCACCTCTCTGTCTGTCTCTTTAACTACTGTTCGATGTTCATGATGTATCGATTATTTCTCTCAGGAAGGCAAATGGAGATGCAGCCCTGGTCAGCTCTGACTCTGAGCAGCTGGTCAAGCCCCTGGGACTAAGGCAGCCCCATAATGCAGAGGGAAAACTACTCAGATAGAAGAGGTGACTCGGGAAGATCCACAGAGAGTTTAGACAGTGAGTAGACACCAGTGGCTGGCCCATGTCAGTCGACTCAGGCTCCTGGGACTCAGGTTGTGGGGCTGTTTCACTGCTGTGTAGATGTCAGGGCTCTAGGACCCTGTGAAGTTGGAGGGTCCTAGCTATCTAGTTGCTGTGTAGGCATACCCTTATATCCTCCAAATGCCCCTCAGCTGCTGCCTAACCTGGTGGGTCCCTAAATTGCTGTCAGTGGACCTGCACCAGTCCCCTCAGTCCTGACCCCTTGCTCAGTCTAAGCCCTGGAGGAGGAGGGAATGCTCCTGTGTACTCTAGAGCAACGGTTCTCAACCTTTTTTCATTGGTGGGCTCCTAAAAAGTTTCGAATGGCGATGCAGACCCCTTTGGAAATTTCGAGTGGCAGCATGGAGCCCGTTGGAAATCTATCGTCTGTACATATAGCTGGATTCTGGTCAGTCTGTTTTCAGTCTGTCTTTCGCGGACCCTGGAGATATAGTACGTAGGCCCCCCCAGCACCGGGTGAGAACCATTTCTCTGGAGCTCTGTGGTTGGAGCACTTACCTAGGGTGAGGGAGACCCCAGTTGAGATCCTCACTCTAGGGTCCTGCCTGCTGGGCGATTCTGGGGTGGGGGGCGCATTCTGATCCGGGGGGCGCATTCTGATCCGGGTCTTTTCGAAGCCTCCTATGGGTGTCAAATAACCAAGCACCCGCGAGCTGGTGGGACTGACTCTATAGGCCAGTGGTTAGGGCATCCAGCCAGGAGGGGGAAAGTCAGGCTCAAGTCCCTGAGCCAAGGACTGCATCATACAAAGTGGAACAGCAGAGACCAAGAGCCAGCTCTGCTGCACAGCCCAGCGCCCCTGCACGGTGGGAGACCTGCAGACAAATATCCTGGAAGTTCCCCCTTAGTGGGCCGGCCCCAAGGATCCACCCAGCTCCAGAGGGCCAGGCTTCCGCGTCTCGGCCTGGGGGCGCCAGTGATCCCTGTCTCTTTCTGGGGTTCCTTGGCTGGGCCAAACTCCTGGGAGAGGCTTGTTCCATCCCTGCAGGGCGCAGTGTCCTCAGGCCGGATCTGCAGCAATACCAGGCAGCCTTTTCAACCCAAGGGGACCCTTTATCAGTCCTCTGGCTGCAGGCCGCCAGGTTTTGGGTTATTAGGAGGGAGGCAGGCTTGGGTTACAGTTCCTGTTGGTGAGAGCCGGGCCTGTCCATGCCCTGCTCCCCCACACTCCATTCTGCTCTCTTTGGCCCTCAGTCCCCAGCACACGAGTTACCTGGGTGAGCCCAGCTCTCATTGACCCAGTCACCTGCCCCCTCCATGTCTTTGTCCTCCGGACACAGCCACCAACACGTTCAGCTGGCTCTGCAGCTAGGGGTTCGTCTTGAGGCCCTGAGGTTCCCCGCGTCTCTCTAGGGTCTTCCATCCCAATGTGTTTGTTCCAGTCCAGAAGGTCCTAGTGGCTCTGTGAATACCTGGCCTGGTCTGTCACGGCCCAGGGAAAGATCTGATTCCTTCCCCCAGGGGGCAAGCGCCGCCAAGGGGATCAGCACAGAGCCTTACAGATGGTTCGTAAAAGGATTTAGGCAAATTCACAGGTTCGTCCTAGGTTCCTGCCTCCCGCAGAGGGGTCCCAGTTGTGATAGGCGCCTGCAACCCTTTGAAGGGTCAGACTTCGGCCCCATCCCTCTCGGCATTTCCCTTTGGTTAGTTTTGGTGGCTCCGGGCTGTAAGTACCTGTCTATCCCCATGCGTGATCTATGAAGCCTGGCCACCTACCTAGGGGCTCTGGATTGCAATGGGCAGCAGGAACCTAAATGTTAGGTGCTGCACCACTGGGTGTAAGTTACCTGTGTGGATCTAGCCCCTTATGTCTCCAGACGTGGGAAGGAGCCTGATAACTAGAGGGGTGGGGCGTGCAGGAATGACAATGGGGACAAGGGAACTTTTCAAGTGATTTCCTCCCCCCGCTCCTCTTCATGGGCTGTCAGGTGCTGGGTTCATCCCTGCTGGAGCTCCCATCTCAGAGGGGGACTGGGAGGCTTCCTGCCCCTCAGGACAGTAGCTAACCGTTCATTTCTGCGCTAGGTCTGTTCTACCGTGCCTGAGTGAGGAGAGTGGTCCCAGGACAGGGGTCTCTCACCCCATCCGCCTTGTGTTGGACCCTGATGAACTAGGCCCCCTTTCAGTAGTGACGCCCACCTGCTCTATGCAGTGGGGCCCAGGTGTAATGAGTGGGCTCATTCCCAGCAGAGCAGGGGTCCATGTGAACCTGAGACTGAATAGCTCTGCTCATTGCCAGAGACCAAGAGCTGAATGCACCCTGGAGACACAGCTCTCGTCTCCGCCTGGGACTCCCAGTCCTGACCCACCCTGTCCTGACCCACAGCCCCCACCCGTCTCCTAGCACTTGGATGAAACCAGAGGCAATCTCAGCTCAGCTCTTTAATTGGCCAGAGGCCCAAATCATCAATACCCAGAACGAAAAGAGTTAAGACATCAAAACAAGCTAATTACGCCAAGGGATTTGCAGTCTGGTCCGTGTGCTTTATTAAGTGGCTCAAACTCCCATGAAAGATAACAGATGGATGCCCCTCAGAGACGGACAGCCTCCGTTAATGCCTAAAATTGATACAGTGGGGGTGTGGGTCTAGTGGTGAGAGGGCTGGACTGGGAGCCAGGACTCTGGAGTTCTTTTACCAGCTCTCAGAGGGCAGTGGGGTCCAGTGGCTTACAGCGGGGAGGGATGGGTAGTCAGCACTCCTGGGATCTATCCATTGTTCTTGGAGAGGAGTGGGGAAGTGGGATCCAGTGGGTTAGAGCAGGGTCTGGAAGTCTGGACTCCTGGGTTAGAGTTTAAGGCTACAAGGGACCACCAGATCACCTTGTCTGACCATCTGTAGATCACAGGCCACCAACAGCACCCAGCGGTTGAAATTAGACCAAAGTAGGAGAGCCCTCAGGAAGCTAAACTGTTATGTGACACACGCAGAGAATAGCAGGGACTGATGGGCACCAGAGCCCCAGCAATAGCAGGGAAAGGGTTAAGTGAGATACACCCAGATAACCCTGATGAATGAGCTACATCCCATGCTGCAGAAGAAGGAGCAAAAACCCCAAGGTCACTGCCAATCTGATCTGGGGGGAAATTCCTTCCCCACTCCACACAGAGCAATCAATTAGACCCAGAGTATGTGAGCAAGAACCAGCCAGCCGAGCACCCGAGACAGAGAATGCTGGGTGCCACCTCAGAGCCCTGGTCCACCCGACCCGATGTCCCATCTCCAGCACTGGCCATCCCTGATGCTTTGAGAAAGAGACAACAACACAAACAACCCCTCCCATACAAAAACCCAAACTCAAACCGTTTATGTAGCTTGTTGTAAAACTAGGCAAATATTTAGATGAGTTGATGTACCCCCAGAAGACCAGGGGTACACATACCCCTAGTTGAAAACTACTAGGTTAGAACGGGGTGCTAGGATGCCTGGGTTCTACCCCTGGCTGTGGGAGGCAAGTGGGGTTGAGTGGGTTAGATTGGGGGGCTTGGACTCCTGGGTTCTATCCTTGGCTGTGAGAGGCTAGTGGGGTTGAGTCGGTTAGATTAGGGAGGCTTGGACTGCTGGCTGTGGGAGGGGAGTGCAATCCATAACATACAAGATAGCATTGCCATGAGTTGGGTTCCAGCTGTCAGTCTCTGGACATCACTGGGGCTTCTCTGGATGAACAGCAGTGAAAAGGTGGGCAGAACTTTTCCATCTGGCTCTAAGTGTGAGAACACATTGATCCAGGTAACCGCCTTGACATAAAGCTGCACAAAACAGGCAGAGATGCGAGCCAGCCTCCCCGCACATACACACAGTTTGCTCTCCTACCCCCTGCAAACACACACTGAGCAGGGCTCATTTCCTCCAGCAAGGACACACACGCACACACCCTGCTCACCTTGTGTTCTGGCTGTATCATCAGACAGGCATTTTTTTATGCTACAAGTGACCCCTAAAGGTCATGCAAAATGCTGTGTTTGGAGGGTTGGAGCCAGCACCCCTGGAGGAGAAGGGCCACATATCCCATTGCCCACCCCCATGACCGGCCAGTC